AAATATTATTTGACTTTTGTAAAATAAACGCAATTAACATAACCTCCGCCAGTATACTCTAAACGATTGAAAATTGTCTCCTTTATTGAGTTCTTGCTTGTCATTTTAAATTATTTGATGGCGCTTTTGTAAGATTTAAGCCCACTGTGTAGCATCAGTCAGATGAATGAAGAAAAAAAAAACATGATATTGAATAAAATTCCCGTCAAATTCTGAAACTTAAACAACAGGATCAAGTCTGAAAGCCATTATTAATGAAAAATTATTCAAAACTTTTGGCAAATTTAACGGAGCGCATCATTATTATGAACGCGCATTGTCTAATATTCGTTGGAAACGTGAAGATGAGTGAGATAGCGAACTAAAAGAGGGAAATAAAATGAAAAAATTTCACTTGGCTGTGTGTGTGTGTGTGCTTGTGTGTTGCCGTTTGATGGAGAAGCTTTATAAAAAGAAATAAAAATTCGTTACTTTAGCTTTATATTCGCATAGAAAATTAGATGATATTATGAGAGGGACGTTGAGAGGGAATTTCGCATCACATCACGCCTTAGCGAATTTTAGTTTGTTTTGTAAGAAACTTTTTTAATCATTGTTACAGTATATATTTATATATTTATATATATATATACATGTATGCGTTTCAATTCTGGTTCTGGTTCTTCTTCTTCTTATCACCCATATCAAACGAAATACCAGCAATTCTAAAGCATAACATTCTGTGTCTTGGATGGGGATGTGAGAAACTCGCACTTAAATGTTTAATGTACGAAAACCGTACGATATTTGCCGCAACAAATAAATTTATACAAAATACATTCGCGCGCGGAATTTTTAACGTGAAATACACAGATGAAGGGAACGAAGCAGAACTTTTTCATTAAAATTTTTCCCATTTTCTTTGCAAACTCATCTATCCATCTGTATATAGATCTAGTGATTGAGGGGAAGAAATATTTAAAAGTATTTTTTCATTGTTTCCCAATAGAAAGCATAGGCTTTTGTGAGGCAACGATGAGCTCCTTAATAATTTTCGCATAAATTCATTTATAGCAACAAATTTTCATACTTGAAAATTTCTAATTTTGTTTGCAAAACTTTGTAATTTTTGTTTTCTCTGAGACTATTAGTCTCTCTATGTCTGCATATATTTATGAAGAATTAAGTGGTTGTCACACATCAACTTGGGTCGTTTCCATCATTACTTGTCATTATTGCGATTTGATTGGCGTTATTTATGTGAAAAATGCCAGCCACGTCTCACCCAGTACGACATAGTGATAATATAGCGGAGAGAGAGAGAGAGCAAACGTAACTAAATTTCCATTTAAAATTGTGATTTGTCGTGTGATTAGCCGCGCGCAGCGGAGAACCCCGGCACGGCTGCAGCATCGTTGCTTGTTAAGTAAAATGATGTTTTTAAAGTGTTGTAAATTATGAATTTTATGTGCTCCCAAAAAGAAGAAACACAATCGCTCCTATGTAGATAATTATGTTCCATTTGTTTTGAAATATGTACGTGCAAGTGTTTAGCTTTTTTTAGAGAAGATTTATCCGCAATATCTATAACTTTAACTTGGTGAGGGATGGATGGATGAATAATACTCTGAACTGAACATAGATTAAATCTGGGAATGAAGTGTCTTTGCTTCAAGACAGAAGCTACTAGGAAAACTACTTTTAAATATTATGGCGGTGAGTGCTCTCTTTTCGATTGGGCGCACATCTGCCAGACGGCGGCCCACTCTACGTTTCATTCTCTTCTCGCCCATTTCTCTCTGACCATCACCGTATTATAGTCATAGGAGACATTCCCCTTAATGGTTGATTTTAAATAATAAAGAAAAGAGAGCACAGTCTCGTTCGCAATTCCCGTCGGCTTACGAAAAATCTTACAAAAAAATTTTGAATTGTTGGACTAACATTTCCAATCTCAACAATTCCAACAGTAAGCGGACGGACAGACGGAAATGGATTAACAAAGAATATGTGCCCTTTACTTGCCAATGGGGAGTGCTAATATACACTTTTCCATCCGTTAGATGGGGACGGAAGAGTGCACGGTACAGTTCTGTTGAGATCACCGTCCAAAGCTAATGCAATAAAATCAGATTGAAAAAGGCTACGTATTTATTAAATATACTATGCGATATTTTTAGAAACCTGTTCAGACTTGCTCATGCCACACTTTGCAACAATGTGCGTAAACATATCCAGCGTTGAAATTTCGTGTTGGGCTTAAAAACAACGGAAATTCGTGCTCACTCACCGAGAGCAGGGGCAATACTCTAATGATAATTTTACCTGGGGTACGTTTACTACTTGTTTCGAATTAATTTGTGTTGTTTTTTTACCATCTATAAAATTAAAACAAGTAAGAAAATTATGTTCGGTCGTGACCGAATCCTTTATGTCCATCAACGTTATTCGAAAAAAGTTTAAAAAAAAAGTAGATAAGAACAAAATTTTTAGACTTAAGAGTGTAGACTGGGCGCCGCTGATTTTTTTCCACGTTTTTGTTGCGTAGGCATGTAGGCATTGCAAGCGTGTCTTTTAAAATATATTTTTTTGCCAATATAGGTGATATCTTCATATTCGCTAACGGGAGAATGTTTGCCTCAGATACCACACGGTCGTGCAGACGGACCAATAGACACATGATCGAACGGTCAAGCGCAGGTGAAGTCAGCCTTTGAAACCAGCAAAGAATTTTCAAAGAGGTTTTGAAGCTTGCTTTTTCGCTTTACAAAGGTATTAAAAAAATTTAATTTTGATACATTGGATAGCCAAGGCCAACTTTTCCATGTTTGTGCAAGCACAACAGTATCATCCATAGAATATACATTCAAGCTTTTTATGGTGAAGTTTATGAGTAGTGAGCAAAAACCCAATTTTTAATTCGTTTTGAAAAACCGAGGCGTTTTCAGTTTGCTGAACATTGCAGCCGTGTCCCTCTGCCGATTTGGCCTATTTTTAGCACCGACCTGCGTTGAAGAGCTTGCCACATTTCTGTCACCTTTGAAGTGGATAGCTCCACTTTTGCGGTCAGGAGAATGTTTTCAACAGATATTATACAGACGGACAGACGGACAGACGAACAGAGGAACACGTTTAAATCGATATATATACTTTGGGGTGTGTTTTGACAAAACGTATGTACTTCTCATCCTTCGGTGATGGGTGTAAAAATACAGACCAAGGAAAAAAGTTGCACAAATCAATTTCGCTGACACGCGATGTTAAGAAATTGATTGAAAAAAAAAGGCATAGTATGCGTACTTCTTTCTTCCTAAATATGTTCTACGGCTTAATAGTGAAAGCTTGGCTTTTGCGATAAATTTGGTTAGGAGTGAGGTGGTTTCGTTACAATCTTGATCGCAACTTGCACTTTCTAAGGAAAGAGACTTGAACACACTCTGCATTATTACAATGCGTAATACTTCTGGCAAGCAATTAGTTGCACTGTATACTGCTTTTGTTAACCGCAAGAATGTAATCGAAAATGGAAACTTTTTTATTCTCAGACACACATTAAAAATATTCAAAATATTTGACATGTTAAGTAGCACTTGAAGCGCCCTGTGTTTTATTAAAAGAGTCTTCACTCAAAAGAGAGAAACAAAGTTTTTTTTTTCATATTTTTACAATTTTTCTCTTTAAGTCTATTGAAAATTTTGTAACGGTTTTCTCTTTCGCACACATACTTCTCTCTTTGATATACAGACACACTTTAAAGCGTCGCATGGCAAACGATAGATTAATATTTTTAATCGCCATTTTTGCTTTTGTTTGTGGTTATTATGCATGGGAAAATTTATAAAATTAAATAAAGATAATATTTGTCTTACTTTGAAATATATTTGTTACATCATTACTTACATCATCAATGAGGAAAAAGATGCAAGATTTGCACTTGATCGGCAATGTTGAGGTTATTTAACAATCTATATATATATATATATATATATGTATGTTCATCCGTTTATTTTGTGAGTGAATTTTGAGGTGAAAAGATGAACTGTAGAGGACAAATTATTGAATACCAGCGATAAACAATTTATCCATATTCAAGGTTCGAACAAAAATTCGAGATGTCGGCATAATTTCAGCAATAACTTTGAACTTTGCCGGCATGTCACCATCTCCATCCCCCTCGTTGCCTTCACACACTGCTGGTTTAATAAGGTTGTCTGAAAAAATGAGATGACGAAGATATATGAGCAAAGATTTTCCTAATCCTTTCCTCGAACCATACAGCTTGTGTGAATGGATCGAGTAGAATTTCAATAGCTTCGCACCTTATGTAGCGAATTATCATCAAAAAACAAGCATATCTTTTTACAGATATAGAAATTATAGAAAAGTTCTGAAAGAGTCTAAAAAAATTTTGCTTATAAGTGGGTATAGCTCAGTTTAAATGTGCATGCTACCATTTCATAGGTTGAAAGTGACAGTGGTGTTTATAGACATCCTGCTTTAGATATCGAAAGAGCAATCAAATGTTTCGAAAGCGTATCACTAGATGACCATTGTTAAGTTGGCATAACCGATCTATATTCGCAGCGAGGTCTATCATACTTTACTGGCGTTTAGCTTTTTGCGAAGGAAAACCCTCTCCTATACCCCATTTTACCCCACCTCTTCTTCGTCCTAATCACTACCGTGTTAGTTCACATAGGACCGACAGTCCCTGAGGGACTGGTCATTAAAAAAAAGGAAAATAGAATTTCAAGGTCCCAATTTGTGAAGGCACAATCTCTCGCATCCTTAACCACTTCTGCTTCTAGCCTGACCACTGCTCTGTCAGCTTTTATAGGCATAGAAAAAAGATATCAGTTATGTAGTATTGTGTAGACCATCAAATTTCGTTTTCTCTTTGTGTGTTAGTCAAAAACTTCTTATAACAAATCTTTTTCTACCTTTTTACCTTTCTACGCCTACTTACTTACGTATACTTTTTGTCTAAGTAAACAACAGGCTTGCCACACCCAGTACCTGAAGACGAGCTTTGTAAATTCCTTCTCTTGGCTGAATGCCTTGGTACATGTTATGTTGTGTACATTCGTAGATATGAAAAGGCGGAGTGTGTAATGCTTATATGTAGGTGATACAAACAGAAATCGTTATTACCCAACCTTTGTTCTTGAAAGAATGCTTTGTTTCGCTCTTTCTGTCAGTCCGCTCGTCCCAAATTCTTAAATAACACACTCATACCAAAGCGAAAGAATTGAACTGCAATGTACTCATTAAGTTCATTTCTATGAGATATTTGTGTAATGAAAGTTTGTATAGATTTTGAGCAAACGGATGCAGTTTTCACTTCACAGTTTCACCTCCGACTGATTAGCCAGCAAATGACAAACCAAGTGTCCCTCTTCCGGATTATCATAAGCAATTTTCACTTAAGATTATGTCGTGGTTATTATATTCTTCAAGCATATATCATGTATGTGTCCACATATACATAGACAATTATATGTGGGAAACTGTAGGTCATTTTATGTAGGTAAAGGTCAAAAGCATTCAATTTAAGCGCAGTGTACATTGCTTGATACTACGCATTATTTTATCATTCTCACCAATACATGCCTCTGATCGAAATACCTGCAAGCATATTCTATTGTATATGTATATATATATATATATTGTATATATATATATTCAAAGGATTATTTATTTTTTGTTTCGTTTCGATTATAAATTTATGAAATTTATGTTTTTTGTTTTCATAATCCAGAATATGTTATCCTAAATATTAATTCCGTCAGAGGAGACCTTATACCGCACAATATTTCCATTTGCTTTTATTGGATATAAAAAGAAAAGGCAACCACGAGAGTTTGCTTTCTTTCTTTTTTAAGTGTTAGCTATTTTTACTAAAATGGCTTTTGACATTTCGTGGAGCTGCCAGCATTCAATCAAGTTTGAATGCATTCTCGAATCTTCTTGAAGAAGAAAAGAAGAAGAAGAAGAAGAAAAGAAAGAAAAACAAATCCCAGCCATAAGCTGGTATACAATAATACAAATTCTTAAACTTAAGTAGAAATAGAAACTTTCATCCATAACAACAACGTGAATCAATTCTATATATATTACATATATACAAATGGTCTGTTTGAATGTGCGCCAACACAATATGGTTACCGATGCGTATACCCAGCCACACACATGAATATGTTTATATTTTTCTGATATGAAGAGAGAGCGAGAAAAAGAAAAAAATGTAATCTAATCTAAAACCCAACATGAATTCAAAATGAAAAACTATTTATAACGGACAAGTCGTTCATAGCCCGGACACTTAAACTAATACAAAAAAAAAACCCGCTCATATATACAATAATAGGTTGGTAGGAAAAATATTTCGCCCTTTGTGTCATCTAGAATTGAGAAGACGAGAGCAACGAAATTGCTTTGCTGCCAAGTCAATATTATGTGCTTTGAAATTGGAAATAATCTGGTAGCTGCTGAAAAGGAGTAGCAAGCATAAGCGACCAAGAAGAAAATTGATGGTGAAGCATAACAACAAGTGCTGGTTTTATAAAAATTACTTGACATTTTTTCCAAAACGATTTTCATAAAGTGTCTGAGGGATTTATTTCTCATTTATTCTTTGATTTTTTCGCTCTTCGCTCTTACAGTAAAGAATGCTTTAACACGTTAAAATGTTATATCTATATATCTAGATGCGTTCACGAAAAAAAAAAAACAAATGACTCGCATGGCTAATATGCATTGCAAAACTCTCGAATGCACGCACATACGAGCAAACTCAAATAAATCTTTAAATATAAAATGTATGCAAGGCATCGATTTAAAGATCAAAAGAGTACGTGCAGGGAAAAGGGTGCAAAAGGCATTGACAACGATTAGGTCGCCAGTGAACTTTTTAACATATGAAATGAGAAAAGATCCACGCAGGAAAATGTATATCATTTAAGGCAGCAATTTAGAGTTACATGTCCTTGAACTGAGATAAAGAGCCATCTTTTCAACAACAACAGAGTAAATAATAAAAAATACGAATAAAGAAAAGAAAAGCAAAAAACAAACAAAAGTAAAAGTGTTTCGTCAAAAGATTGCTTTACATCCACACAACATTTACAAAAGACATAAAATTCTGTTAGACGGCCTTGACAACATAAAAAATTTAATGACTCTCACTTTTTTTATTTTATTTTATTTTTTTTTTTTTTCTTTTTTTTTTTTTATGACTACTCTGTGAGCGCAGTGATGATGATGTGTCTGCAAAACTTCAATGCTTCGTCATAAAATCTAACAGCACTAACAACAACGGCACGAGCAATAACAAAAAACCAAAACCAATTCCAGAAAAGTTAAAAAAAAAAAAAAACGAGAAAAATGTTTTAAAGAAGCACAAAACAACAACATATGCTTGCGTATGCGTATTGCGATGATCGGCGCGAATAGATTTAATCTACAAAATATGGTTATTTAATGGCCTTTTTTTGGCTTACACTGTAGCAAATATTTTTTCATTTATTCCATTCAACCCTTTCTTCTTCTTCTTCTTCTTGTTCAGCTTGCCTTTTATATGTCATAATGAGTATGTTTTTGTCAATGACCTGCACAATGAATGCAAAAACAATCTTCTCATGCATTTACAACTACAAATGTGAATATGTGTACTTTTTCAGACATGCACATGGCATTATGTGCCGCTTTTTACTTTCTCCTTATAAGTCTTATAAGTCTTTAGTGGGTAAAAAACGTTTCTCTCCATTTCAAGCCACGTATCAATAAAGCTTGATGTCTCTTCATCAACTTCGCCCTAGAGAAAAAGCACATCAAACAAAATATAATTATCTTGGTATTATGTAGACGCTATACAAGATCTATTTGTCCATTTCTAGTAAGCAGAAATCGCCGATCGATGTCCTCGTAACTAGTATTCGTCATCGTTTAATTTTTGTGACGTCATTTAGGTGCAAAGAGGTCATGACAGCCAACTGGTTAACGTACTGAAGTTCTACCTATAAATGGTCTGGGAATGTTAAAGAAAAGAATGTAAGCCATAGATTATTCTTAAGGTGTCTGAGAATTATCTTTGATAAGTAGTCGAATATGTAAGAACCGTGACCACCAAGATAGTGTTTGCAGATTCAAATCTTAAATGCGTTTTCTTTCTTTCTTAGGTCATAGCTATTGTGAGCACTCAGTCCCTTATCGCGACCTCTACCTTCCTATTTCTTTCCTTCTTAATCAACGCGTTACACGAATAGCGGACATCCCCTGATTTGTTGGTCGTATTAAACAAAAAAAAGGAGTGTAATCAGAGGATTTAGTCAGAAGAGTTGTTTTCGATTACTGCGAAGCTTGTTCGATTATATTAATTAATAAAGCACTCTAACTTTGACGCTAAAAATATGTCTCAAAAAGTTATAACTGAACTTAAAAATAGATTCATCTTAAGACACCATAAGAGGATATTCGAGCACTTGCTTCTGAATTCTGATAGTCCGCGTGTAGTCTAAAACCGTTCAAAATATATATGGCACTGCTTTGAGTGCCAAGTCATACATCGTACGTATGCCGGACGTAAATCTCGTAGGCCTTCGTAGACTATATTTCTAATTTTTCAAGAGTCTGTCTGCCAGACAAAATTAGTTTTTGAAAATATTTGCGAGACAGTTAAAAGTCTCGTAAACGAAAACGTCCGATTTAAGGATAAGAAGTGCAAGGTTGCGGTCGATATCTATAGATGAGAAACATCCTGATATGTATGATATATGTCTATATGTATTAGTAGTTCTTGGTTAGAATAGAGTTCTCAAGGGCTTAAGCCACTGGTTCTTTCAACCGCCTGCTCTTGATTACACGGTTGAAGGCCTGCGTTTGCAAAAGTTTCGATAGAAGATTGGAAGTCGTCATAAATACTTGCGAGCATTTAATTGATAATTAAACGATCAATTTGAACATTTTGATCATCCCGTCCGCAACCACACCCCAGAACGTAGAATCACTTAAAGGTGTCAATGAATGATCAAAATTACACAACTTTCTCCCGTCATATATCACCTTCTTTGAGTGTGTCTGCCCCTCATCATGCACACTCATGTGGACAAATATTTTTTCTATTAAAGGAAATAAAATCCATCTAAATTTCATACGCCCTGGGTGATACATACGCGTCGTAGGTGTCTCAAGACAATTTTAATGCGCGTATGAC